GTGGCCCCTTTCTCAGGGCCAGCGATTGCAAGGTGCATCCCAGGCTCCAGAGAAGACTCAGAGTGCTCAGGGTGGCCACAGTAACTCGGATTACCCGACATTGATTTTCATCTGCAAAATACCACTGGGGCATCCTCTGCACATTTCTGGGCCCCAGGATGGGGAAGTTGGGTTCCTGCCAGATTCTGAGCTTGCAGAGGTTTGGGGATGAGGACAAGGCAGGTGCCATCCACTATCCAGGCCAGGTCCTCTGGGTGCAGAGCAGACAGCTGAGAGGAGCAGCAGGAGAGCGAGGTGGAGAAGAGCCCTGGGAGGAGGTCTGTGTCCCCAGATCTCACATCACATCTCTATTAAGGCTCAGGGCAGCCTCTGGGTGCCAGGCCACTGAGCAGGACCTCTCCAGCCTCCCAAGACAGACAGGAAAACAACATCTCATTTTCACCTGCCACTAGTTGCAGCAGGGTCTTGCCTTCCGTCCTAAATGAGGGTGGCTGTGGCCACACTGTCACAGGGAGAAGGCAGGCACGCTCATCTCAGGCAACAATTAATGTGGAGAACACAAATGCCATCAGTTCTCTAAAATTGTGTAGGAACTCAACCACGTGTTGGGTGAGCTGAGGGTCACGGCCGGGGACCAGGAGCCTGTTGTCCACACGTCTGATTCTTCCTTCTTTACCTGTGCTCCACTCGTCCCTTCTGGGCCAGCACTTGAGGAGGACATATCCAGCACCCAGACTAGGGGTTGCATGAGTAGCAGGTGCTCTTGATGTTGTTCACTAAGGACTGATGAGTAGCTGGGTCAGGAACTTGAACTTGACAACCCTCAGCCATCAAATGCTTGGACTTAGTTCCTTGAAACTGTTCCCTCTCCACCTGCTCCCTCCTTAATACTTGGGCACCTCAACCCACAAATGCAGACTCCCATGTCTGTGTGACCGGCCCAAGAGCCCAGGTGAGTTTGATGTCATATTTTGTGCATCCTGAGAAACTGTTCTGAGAGTGGCTGGGAGACACGAGCACTCTGTGCCATCACTTTTCGGCTTGTGAAGTCCTCTGCCACTCAGCGCCACCATCCTAGCCACAGCTCCCTAAAGAGACCCGTCCAGGCCTTCCCCTCTTCTGGCCCTTGTCCCAGGCCAGAGCCCCCATGTCCTCCCAGAGGGTGCCACAGATGGTGGCTTTGCAGCTATTGATTCATTAGAGGCACCTTTGTTCTCCCTGGACTAGAAGTTTGTGTCCTGGGGATTCTGGGGAAGGGAGGGACAGTGTGCACAGTGTGTTTCATAGGACAAATATCTTGTGTGGGGTTGTTAAGGCCCAGTTGAACCCCCTTGGGCCTTATGCCTTTCCCTCATCAGTGAGAGCCCTCCCAGCTGCTGCCCCCACACTGGGATGCTGCAGTGCTGGGGCCTTCTTGGGCCCAGCTCTCTAGGAAGGAGAAAGGGTCTGGGAACCCTAACTCAAAGGGCCCTGGGGTTCAGAGAAGACAGGAGAGGCCTCCCCTCCAACCTCCCCAAGTCCGTGAGGACAAGCAGAGGGACCCAGTGAGAACTGGTGGGGGCCAGAGCAGCTGCTGGCACCCTGGTTGGGGAAGATGGCAAGCTGGGGCCTGCCAGGGCAGTGGGGGCGGGGAGCAGAGGAGCTGACTCAGCACCCGGAAGAGCTGGCGCTGGGAGAGCCTAGGGAGCCCCCTCTGCCTCTCAGCAGCACCCCACCCTACCCCATCCTGACCGCCCGGCGAGGTGGGAAAGGTGCTGAGACTGCAGGCCCTGTCCTGTCTGCAGAAGCTGCAGGGTCCAGGGCTGGGCATTCATCAGCTCACTTCCCCCATCCACCATCAGCAGCCCCGGAGTAAGACGCGGCCTCTAGCATCCAGCCAAGGAAGCCACCTGTCCTTCAGCAATGGTCACAGCCCCAGGATCAGTTCCTATTTTGAAGACAGCCAGAGAGACGAGTCCTCGATTTTTCTGTCTAAACAGATTCCTTTATTTTCCACTTGTTCTCCGTCTCTGAGTCAACAAAACATCCAACAACAGTTTCCTTCTTGTGGGTGGATGGACAGATGGACAGACAGGTGTAGCTCACCCCTTCCCTGGTGGCTGTGAGTAACCAAAGAGAAGAACAGGTTCTATGGGCCTCAGGACTGGGCCATTTCTGAGAAGCTCTCAGATGGAGCCACAACTTACAAACCACTCCCCACAACTTTCTGTCAGGGAGATGGATGAACATCCAGAAGAGATGCAGAGCCTGAACCCCAAACACCATGGGTCCACACCCCACGTTCCACACTGCCTGGAGTGCTCTGGACCTGCCATCCTCTCTGGCCCATCCTTCCCTCTTCATGCTTTTGTGTACAAGCCAACCCCTGTCGCCCTCCACCACTTGGGCATGCATGTCGCTAACTAGCACCTCCTGTGTGCCGTTGACATCACGTGTACAATGTCACCTCATAGAAGGGGTGGAAGTGAAGCACCCTGGTCCTGGTGGAGGAGAAGCCCATGAGGGTAACTAGCCCATCCCCAATTAGACAGAAGGCTCCCAGTCCTGAGTGGCCAGTCCCCCAGCTCACCGTACTCACTTGCCCCTGAGGCACCTCAGCTGGGGCTGGGGCTCCTGACTCCCACCATGCTCAACCCCCACAGAGGGCTCCCTCCTCACCCGCTTCTCATTCAGGAGGCCTGGCTGGAAGTGAGAAGGGCCAGGCAGAGGGAGACCAGATGTCTTCTCCAGTCTTTGCCTGCCCATGTGCTGGACACCCATGCGACCCCCAGCTACTTGGTCCTCAGAGACCCCTCTCCCTGAAACCTCCACTCATGGCTGAGGATGTCATCCCAACACCTCGGGCTGCCTATGAGGGCGGACCCCAAAAGGAGAAGGCACAGCTGAATTCAGAGCCCCAGAGACACGTGCAGGAGGGGACCCAAGAGGGAGCCGGGGAGGAAGCCAGCAGTCATCAGAGTGGGGGATGTAGAAACCAGGATGGAGAGGGTTGGACAACAGGTGATGGAGGTGTGGGTGCTTTGAAGGGAAGCATGACTGAGGGGAGATTCTTCTTAGTTTTTACAGCTAGGAGTATCTTGGAACAGGGTGGGTGCCAGTGGACAGCTGGACCAGAGAGAGGGCTGAGGCATGGAGGGAGTGGCTAGATCTTTTCATGACTCATTGCTGCCGGAGGTAAGCAGGTGCTCAGTGGGCAGGTCTGATGTGGGTACATCTGGGGGCCTCTGGTTTTCAGTGTGGTCAGCCAAAAGTATAGAGGAGCATGAGGTACAGCCACACCCTTCTCCCTGGTTCAGTCCCTCCCCTCTCTGGGCTCTGGGGCACCTGGCCTGCCCCTCCTCTGTCCCACTCTTGAGGGCAGGGACCACTGATCCTGGCCCTATTCCAGTTTCTCAGCCCCTGAGCCAGGGCCCAGGCAGAAGGCTGACCTTCTGCTAGGCATAATGGCACGTGCCTGTGATCCCAGCTGTAACCCAGCTGGGGGTGGAGGGTTGCAAGTTAGAGGTCAGCCTGGCAAGTTAGCAGGACCCTGCTTCGAAATAAAAATTCTTGGAAAGGGCTGGTGCAGGAGGCAGCTCAGCAATACAGCTTGCCTAGCATACAGGAGGCCTTAGGTTCAAAGAGAAAGAAAAAGGAAAGCTGTCCTTCTGTCCTGCCAAGTGCCACTCAGACTACACCCGGAGCACCCATGTGGTTTGTGCAGCACTAGCATGGACACTAGGGGGTCTCCGTGTGGTCTGCACCCAGAGAGGAAAATGTGAGCCATTCCCATCCCATGTGGGGCAGGTGTACCCTGAGCTGGATCTAAGAGAGAAGCACAGGAGCGTGGATGGGAAAGACCATGTGACTCTGAGACCAGAGGTGGCCCCCCAGGTGCTCCAGGGCCAGTCCTCCCAGTAGAACTACAGGGAGGGACATGTGGGGAAACTTGGCAGGTGTCACCCGCCCGCAGACCCCACAATAGTGGGGTGAAGAGCAAGTGTGACCCACAATGTCCTGCACACAGGGGACCCGTGACACCATGAGTGGGGTTTGGAGGCAACAGAGGGGGTGATGGCGGGCAAAAGGCAGTTGGACCCACTGGAGTCTCTTTCTGTTCTTCCCACCCCACCCTTCTCCAAAAGGACTTGGCAAATCTTTCTTTTAGACTGAGGTGCAGTTTTATAGAGCTGGTCCCGCATCTGAGGCTCTGCATCTGCAGGGTTAACTGAGGATTGAAATATTTGGGAGTAAACTACATGTGTCCTGAACCCTGGGGTCCTATTCCCTGAATGATACACTTTAGCAGCCATCTACACCATGCTACATTGTGTCGGGTATCACTGTAATCTAGAGATGGTTTAAAGCTTTAGGGGACAATGTGCCATTTTATGCAAGGGACTTGAGTAACTGCAGATCTTGGTATCCATGGGAGATCTAGGAGCCAGTCCCCACCCTGTGGATACTGAGGGGTGCTGTGTCTTGAACACATCTTATTGAGGGTGCATGTCTTGTATCTTTGGGATAAATAGCCAAATATGGGCAGGAATGGGTTTCATGTGATTTTTGCCCTGATCACACCCCTACTCCAGAAGCTGAGCTTCTCCTCCTGGGCCCTAAGGTGCCCCTATTTAGAAAGCCCCTGTGCAAACCTGGGGCCACCTGCTCTGGGGTCCATCCCAAGGCCCTTTAGTAGCCAGAAATTCTAGTCTCTGCATTCTCCAAAGGCTTTGGGGTCCTCCACCAGTGTCCTAATGCGCCCAGGATCTCTGCATTCTCAATGGTGGGGGTGTGGGCCCTTCTTTTGCCTCCCACATCCATCAGTTTGCTCAATGCTGTCTCAGGTACACAGATGGGCAGGGCCCTGGCTTTTCCTTAATATCAAGTTTCCTTCAAAGCAGAAGTGTCCTGCCCCTCAGTGCACAGGTGCCCCCAAAGCAAAAGGCCTATGTGTGCCCCAGGGCAGGGCAGCCTCCCCACTGTGTTCCTGGCTGGCCCTAACCACCTGTCCTCCTTGCTAGGTCACTGGCCATCGGGCCCCAGTACTCCTCTCTGAGCACACACCCCATCCTCTGTGCCAGCATCCCGGGCCTGGTGCCCAAGCAGCTGCGCTTCTGCAGAAACTACGTGGAGATCATGCCTAGCGTGGCTGAGGGTGTCAAGCTGGGCATCCAGGAGTGCCAGCACCAGTTCCGTGGCCGCCGCTGGAATTGCACCACTGTGGATGACAGCCTGGCCATCTTCGGGCCTGTGCTCGACAAAGGTACCTGCCCTGCCACCATGTGTACTCTCAGGGACTTGGGAAGCCTGTGAGGGAGGGGCAGGCTGGCCTGGGATGCGCAGATGCAGGGTCCCTGGGTGTGCCTCCTCCTCCCTCTCTCTCAGGAGCCAGGGCTTCTAGGGAGAAAACCTTCGGAAGGGAGAGGAGCTGGGGCTGTGGGTTAGTCCAGGAAAGAGAGGACGGTGGGAGACTGGGTGTTGGTTGGCTGCTGCCAAAGAGCAAATTAACCCATAATGTAGTGGCTAGAGCAATGATTACCATGTGCCATTGCAGTCTGCTGGCCAGGGGTGCATCTGCCCATGTCATGAGGCCAGCCCAGCTGGACACCATGAAGAGCCTACTCGACGGGGGCTTCTTAACAGCCTGGGGCCTGGATCTCAGGGCAGATATAGGGAGAGAGGAAGAGACAGAGAGACAGAGGCAGAGATACAAAGAGAGAGAGAGAAAGAGGCACAGGGATGGAGATGAGAGAGAGACAGACAAAGACAGAGAGAGGCAAAGAGAAACAAAGAGACTGAGACAAGGGACTAGGGGACAGAGACAGGGAGAAACAGGTAGGGAGACAAAGACACAGAGACCCAGAAACAGACACCGCCAGGCAGAGAGACAGAGGGAAACAAAGAGAAACAGGAGGCAAAGGTGGAGAGAGAGACACCGAGGGGGACCATGGGAGAGAGGACACACAAAATGCAAGCTTTTGTGGCTTTGGAACAAAACTGAGGAAAATCATGATTGGAATCACTTCTAAGCATACAATACTGTGCATTAGCACACTCATAGAGTTGTGTGACACAACCTCTCGTTCCAGAATGTTTGCATCACCCTCAAGGAAACCCATGCCCATGAGTGGCCCCTCCAGGCCCTCTTCCCCTCCAGACCCTTGGCCACTGGCCTGCTGCCTGAACCTATGGACTCTCCTGTTGTGGACATTGCCTACAGCATGGTCACTCACGGTGCGACTTCTGGGGCTAGCTTCTTCCCTCAGCATGGCGTTTCAAGGGACATCTGTAGGAGCATGTCAGCACTTTGTGGCTTTTAGTGGATGAATACTCTACTCTCCCAGGAAGGATGGACCACATTGTCTATCCCTTCCCCAGTTGGTGGACACCAGGGTTGTCTCCACCTTTTGACTATGTGAAGAGTGCTGCTAAGAACAGCATTTCTTGGGCAAGCATTTCTTTTTGAATCTTCGGGGAATAAAATCAGGAGTGGTGATTGCTGGGTCATATGCTAATTCTATACTTAGTTTTTCGAAGAACTGCCCAATGTTTTCCATAGTAGCTGAACCATTGTGCATTCCTACCAGCAATGCCTTGAGGATGCCGATTTTACACATCCTCAGCAACGCTCATTTTTGCTTGTGAGCCATTGTGGTGTATGTGTGAGACATCTGTCTGTGTTTCATGTGCACACGCCAATGGTAAAGTGTGCTCATTGGTCTTCTGCATATTGTGTTTGAAGAATTGTCTGTTCAAATCCTTGGTCCATTTTTTAATTGAATCGTTTGTCTTCTTATCATTGAGTTATATGTGCTTTTTATATATTCTGGTTACTAAACGTTTATCAGATACATGATTTGCAAATATGTCCTACCATATGTATCACTTTTGTGATAGTGGCCTTTGATGCACAAAAGAGCTTACTGTTGATGAAGTCCAATACATTTAGATGTCATATCAAAGCAAGCATTTCCTAAGCCTAACTCACAAAGATGCACAGCTATGCTTTCTCTCTTACCTTCAGGCCAGGTGAGTGAGCTACTTTGAGCTTCTTCATGCATTTGCTATCAAGTGGGGATCCGGTCACATTCCTCTGCCTGTGGAATCCTGTCATTCCAGTACTTTCTGTTGAAAGGTTGTCCCTCTCCCTCTGAATGATCTTGACACCCTGCTCGAGAATCAGTTGGCCAATTCCATTCCATTGGCCTATGTGTCTATATTTTTGTGAATACTACACTATTTTGATTGTTTTAGCTTTGGAGGATGTTTTGGGCAATGTGTGTCCCAACTTTGGATTTCTCTTCTAAAATCATTGTGGCTATTGGAGTTCCTCGCAATTCTATTTTTTCCACTTTGTTGTTGTTGTTGTTGATGATGCATTATAGTTGTACAAGTTGATGAGTTTGTTATTATATATACAAACATGCACACAACATGATAATATAATTTGGCCAACGTCACTCTACCTTGCAATTCTATACAAATTTTAGATCAGCTTTTCCATTGCTGCAAAAAGTCAGTTGAGCTTCTGGTGGGATTGAGTGAAGCTGTGGGCTGCTTTGGGATGGTCCTGCCCTGCCAACTACACTGCGTCTTCCCTCAAGAGCGCAGGATGGAGTGCCCTCTCTGTGCCTACTTGTATGCTGTGGCTTTCAGGACACAGGGCTTGCACCTCTGTGGTTAATGTATTCCTGAGTGCTCTGTTCTCCTGGTGCTGTTGTAAATGGAATTGCTGCCTGATTCTTTCTCCAGGTTGTTCATTACTGATCTTGTCAGGTGCCATGGTGCACATCTGTAATCTCAGCAATTTGGGAGACTCAGACAGGAAGATCAAAGTTCAAGGCCAACCTTAGCAAGACACTGCCTCAAAATAAAGAGTAGAAAGGGCTGGGAATGTAGCTCAGTGGTAAAGAGTCCCTGGGTTCAATTCCAGTACCCCCCAAAATTATAAGATAAGAGTTTTCTGTGCTTTGAGTCTGTATCCTGCAATTTTGATTATTGGCTGTGAAGTGTGTGTGTATGTGTGTGTGTATGTATGTATGTGTGTGTGTGTACTGTATGCACGTCTGTGTGCATACCGTTTGCCCCTTGTAATCCTCTAGGGACAGGTTGAAGAGAAGCAGGACTACTCTCCCCTTACCTCTTTCCCTAACTCCTCTGGCTCGGACCTCCAGAGCCCTGCTGAAGAGAAGTGGTGAGAGTGGCAGCCTGCCTGGTCCCCCACCAGGCCGGAGGCCTTCAGCCTTCACCACTGTGTGCCACTTGGTTACAGGTCCCCACGGGATCCCCAGGTGGCAGAGGTTTCTGTACTTCACTTTTGAATGTTTTCAAGGAAAACCCTGTGCAGTCACTGCTCTGCCTCCACAGAGTTCAGAATTCAGCAAAGCAGTGTCTTGACTCAGAGAGATGCCAGGTCCATTTTGGGATGCTGGCTGCCACTTGTCCCCAGACCTCCTTGTGCCAGGCTCATCCCCCATACCTACACCACCCTTTGCTGGGTGCTGTGCCCTTTAGCTATTTCCAGAGGTCTGACTGTGGGGGTCTGACAGTTTGGGCTTGCTTTTCCATGGCTCCTGGATTTTCCTACTGGGTCCTGGGGTGGGAGCAGACCACAGACCCCACCACTCAATGGCATAGAGGTCACCATGGAGGAGCATCATGAAGTTTGCAGTGTAGTCAGCTCCTGAAGGGGCCATCGCTTCCTGGAGCAGGGCCCAGGAACACACTGTCCATTGAGGCACCCAGGTGACCAGCAGGAGGGAGGAGTTTGGGCAGAGGGCCAGGTCATGTGGGAAGGGCCCACTAGGGACCCTGCATCCTTCAGTGTTCCTCACAGCATGGCCACAGCTGGGGTCCACTTCCCGTCTCCATAGCCCTTCTCCTCTGGCTTCCTGGGCTTGCGCCCATAGCCCCAGCCTTCCATTGCTCAGGTCAAAAACCTCGGGCTCCCGATGAGCCTCTAAGGCTCAGAGCCCCTTGGCAACACCTTCAGCCTCAATCCAGAGCCTGATACTTCCCACCATGCCCTCCCACTACCCAGATCCCAGTCACTGCAGGCGCTCCCATGAGACCCCTTAGTCATGCCCCATGACCAAGAGAACTGGTGTCCCTCCCTTGACAGCCATGCCATGCTGCCCACCTGCCTCCTTGGCCCCGTCCTGGCAATGCACACAGAATGTGTGTGCCCCTGCACTCCTAGCCCCCCAGGCCACGGTATCAGGAGGTAAAGCCTGTGGGAGGTGATGAGGTCATGAGATGGGAGCCTCACCATGGGATCAGTGTCCTTATCAGGGGATCCCAGGAAGCCCTGCCCCAGGATCCACCTCTGTCCTCACCATGTGAGGACAGTAAGATGGGTGGCCGTGGGCCAGAAGCAGCCCTCACCAGGCCAGAACCTGCCAGGCCATGACCTTGGGCTTCGGCTTCCAGAACTGGAGCAACACATCTGTGTTTCACACCACCAGGGCCAGCGTCCTTGTCAGGCAGCCCAAGTGGACCAAGACACTCCCTGACCCGTCCACCCGTGGGCCTCCTGGCTGCTTCTCAAACTCAAGGCACAGTTTACTCCTGACTCACACCAGGGAGGGCTGCCAGGAGCACTCTTCCCCCTCTGTCTTTACGGCTCACCACCCAGGGCCCTGTCCTCATGCCAACAGGTTTTGTCATACATAGTGCCCCCCCAATGCTTCTGTTCCCCTCACATGGTTTCTCAGTCCACCAGCCCTGCCTCAATTTTCCTTCTCATGTACAGTGTCAGTGCAGCCCACCCTGCCCAAGGCCAGGGGAAGCCCACTTTGCACACACTGTCTGATACCCAAGGAAGGAGCAAGTGGCCTTGCCATAGCCCAGCAGCTGGGATTCAAGAAATTGGGTGTCCAGTCAAGGAGCCAGCCCTGCGGGCCATAGGCATTGGTGGAAGCCAGCTGAGGAGGCCTGTGTGTGGCTGATGCAGCCTGGCTGGGAGAGTCTGCACCCAGGTGTGGCCATGCCCCACCCCCTGAGGGGCAGTAATCCAGGATGGCAGTCCGGCTGGAGGTAGAGGAAGAGACTGGAGCTGGGGGCCTGAGGCTCCTGTGCCCTTGAAGGAGAGTGGCTCACGTCCTGGACTGTCAGCGACCTGTCTATGAAGTGGGAGAATGCTGCAGCCTGCCACTTCACAGAGCTGCTGGTCAGGTGTCACAGACTTGATCACAGCTCGGTTCTGGAAATGGAGGAATTGGGTCCTCAGGGCCACGTGGCTCTCCAGGAATGTCAGGGTATGGG